ACATGCCGGTCATAACATGATGCAGTTGCATAGAAACTAGAAATGTGAGTTTCTGCTGGCTGGGACTGTCACTGTTCAGCAATGGTGGACCCACTCGTAATGTTGGCCATGGAGACCTACTGGAAATGACACCTCCTTAGTTATTTGAAGCTGCCTCATCCCAGTTCAAATGATTATTTGGCCAGATAGCAAATAATTCCCTAGCTAACTGTCCAGGTTTCTAGGGAGATGTTGGTCATATCACCTGCTTTTGACTCTCAAAGCAGGGGAAAAACAAAAACATAAACCCAAAGCTCCAGCATTCAGGCGTTTTGAAACTCAGTTAAGGAGCAATTATTTCTGTTTGCAAGTTTTCATACTATTTATTAAAAAGTTTAATCCCACCTTTATTACTTTATAAATCAAGGTGGCAATCATGCATAATATTTTTCTCCTGTGTTCACCACAAAACAACCAGTGAGGGAGGCTGGGCTAACAGAGAGTGACTGATCCAAAGTCACCTAGTCTGCTTGCATGCTCAAGGTGGCACTAGAACTCATTGTCTCCTGGTGATTGGCCCAAAATCACCCAGTTGACTTTCACACCTAATGCTGAACTAGAACTCTGTCCCTGGTTTCTAGACTAATACCCCTAATTACTACACCAAACTGACTCCTTTATTGCAGAATCTGTTGTAAACTTTCCTCTTTTCATTCCATGAATCTGATTAGCCCTTATCACTAAGTCAATAATTTAGAAACTGACCATACACACACACACACACACACACACCTGTTAGTTTAGAGATTGATGGGCTGCTTTAACACAGTCACAAGGAAAGTGGCTAATGAACAGGCTCTAAGCCAATATAATAAATATCTCCTGGACTACAAAAACAATCAAAGCCACTAACTCAATTCCAAAAGTGAAGATGCTCCACTTAAGTTATATTCTATCAAAGGCATTCATTTTCTTAACTTCCTGTTGTCAGGAATCCATTTGCTTGGATTTATTCCACCAATAACTGGAATGTTTGCCAATTCTAATCTTCAAACTATTATAAAGCTGTCAGAATCAATGTAATTTAGCTCACATAACAATTACATATTCCAAAAGGATTTATTTATTTATTTATTTATTTATTTATTTATTTATTTATTTATTTATTTATTTATTTATTTATTTATTTAGATTTATATGCTGCCCTTCTCCGTAGACTCAGGGCAGCTTACAGTGCATTATAGCAATAGCCGTCATACTTTTGTATATACCTGCTTATTAAGGACTTTCGGCCCCCCCTAAGCGGCGGTGTTTTTATACAAAGTCATCTTATTGCCCCCACAATCCGGGTCCTCAATTAACTTACCTTGGAAAGATGGAAGGCTGAGTCAACCTTGAGCCTGGTGAGATTTGAACTCGCACTAATTGCAGGCAGCTGGCAGCTAAGTGCTAACATAACAGCACTTTAGTTCACTGCACCACCAAGGCTCTTTATACTTTTTATGACTATATTATGTAATTCTGCCAAGCTGCAAAAACCAAGAAAGATACTCTTTATTCTTTATTATTCCTCACCCAAAGACAGAAATCTTGCCAAAATAAAGCAAACTACACACATGGTTAAAGAGATATTCTGAGAAATCCTAAGGAAGAGCCATTTTAACTCTCTTCCACTCAACCAAACCCTCTAAACTTCGCTGTCTCTTGGTCCTCTGGAATGCAGCCCCTCCCTCCTGGGAATCTGGACTACAGGTCATCCTCAATTTACGATCACAATAGAACCCAAAATAAAGGAGAATATTTGTAGCTCAGGATTGAAATGAGTTGTCTTTGGTGCTCTCTGAGCTTGCTTGTTTTCTGGCAGACATTTCATGACCAAACTAGGGAACATCATCAGTGCTAGCATTGATGATGTTACCTAGTTAGGGTAGTGAAACGTTTGCAAGAAAGCAAGCAAGCTCAGAGAGCACCAAGGACCCCTCAGAACCCAAAATTTGTGTCGCTGTGAGAGTTTTTAAGTGAGTTTTGTCCTGTTTTACCACCTTTCTTGCCACGGTTGTTAAGTGAATCGCAGTTGGTTAAGTTAGTCACACGGTTGTTCAATGAATCTGGCTTCCCTGTTGACTTTGCTTGTTAGAAGACGATCACATGACTCTGGGACGCCGCAACCATCATAAATACGAACCAGCCGCCAAATGTCCGAATTTTAATCACGTGACCATGGGAGAGGCTACAACGGTCGTCCCTTGTCCCTTGTCCCAGTGCCGTAACTTCAAACGGTCACTAAGTGAAGCGTTGTAAGTCAAGGACTACCTGTACATTCCACTCAAAATCAAACCAAAGGACAGCAAATGTTTGAATCTTGTTAGTAGGAATTGCTTTCTAACGGCGTCCATTTACGGGTGGGCAACCAAAACACATGATGCCAGTGTTACAATACAAAGTTGTGTACTTTTGTACACCTACAAAAGACGTACAATTTCTGTTTCAACCTCGCCTTCGCCCTCTGGCCATTTTCTGACCTCCCTGCGGGGCCTCCTGACTGCTTGAAATGAGGTTTCCTGATTTTATTAAAACATAATAAAACTTGACAAAGAACAAAAAAAATCACAGCTATGAAAGAAGCCATTATCTCAGTATGACTAGATAACAGCAGACAGCTCCTATGAAAGTTGGGGAAGGTAAAAAAGAGAACGTTTTCGCAACAAGTGTCGGCTCCCGAAACAATATCGGAGATGGATTTTTCTAGAGCTGATTTCCAACAGGAGAAAGGTAGCATAAATGCCAAGCTTATACTTTCCGATAGAAATGCATCTCTGGAGGTTTGTGGCAGTTACAAATCCCCTAACACAATTAGCCAATTGTTTTGCAAGGCAAATCTTTAATTCTCCAATAAGCATTTTTTAATTGGTGGTAATTGGCAATAGTTTTCCCATATACCCACCCACCTGCATTTAAGTAAATGATCAAGGTGTCTACAAAATTTTCTCATTTTAACCTGCGTGTTCCCACATTTATTTTTATTTATTTGTTTCTTTGTCAAACGTATACAAGATAACAAGTATAGGTATGAACATAAACTTAAACAATAGAGACAGTAAGACAGTGAAGGGAAACAATAAGGATATAATAAATAATACTAGAATATGATATACTGGTATACTAGATTCTGTAACCATTAGGTTCCTGTAATACATATATGCCTTTGTATTTGTATCACATATATTATGCCTTTATATTTGTATCTCCTGTAACAAACATATTCTGTTATTAGGCCTCTGTAATGTATCTGGTATTTGTCAAACATATGTCCCTGCCATTTGACCTGAACCCATATCAATCTTCTTCCTGTTTTTCTTGTGCCATCTAAAAGCATGGTACGTATCTCAGTTGAAACTACAGCCATCAACAAAGGGATAATTTACACCTCAGCCTAATTTATGTTTTGATCTGGATAAACTCCTGTCTTCCAGAGCCAGGGGGCTAAGTGGCCAATTGAATAAAAAAAGAAATGCTTAAGATAAAACTTAATTGGGAAGTTTCTATTCCCCCTTGCAGGACAACAAGGAATACACAAACCTAAATTAGGAGGCCAGATTTGGGTACTAAGCTGACGTCTCTGAGGGTATAAAAGGATGCCATACCTTCCCCAAGGTGTGGCTATCTCCTCGCATGCATTGTATCTGTGTGTTCTGGATATAGTTCCACCCAGTATTTTGTTTTTGGCCATAAATAAAATCTGTTTTTTTTGCAAGCCTCGTCTTGAGTCTCTCTCTTTGGCATTCTGGTGACTCAAGTGTATTTTGGGACCTTACAACAGGAACGGTAGCAGAGGTGGTATTCAGCAGTTTCTGACCAGTTCTGGAGAACCGGTAGCGGAAATTTTGAGCTGTTTGGAGAACCGGTAGCGGAAATTTTGAATAGTTCAAAGACTGGCAAATACCACCTCCGGCTGACCCCAGAGTGGGGTGGGAATGGAGATTTTGCAATATCCTTCTCCCAGGAGTGGGGAGGGAATGGGGATTTTGCAGTACTCTTCCCCGGAGTGGGGTGGGAATGGAGATTTTGCAACATTCTTCCCTGGAGTGGGGTGGGAATGGAGATTTTGAAGTATCCTTCCCCTGCCATGCCCACCAAGCCACACCACGCCCACCAAGCCACGCCCACAGAACCATTAGTAAAAAAAATTGGATTTCACCCAATGGTGGGTTGCTGCTGGTTCAGACCGGTTCTATTGAACCGGTAGTAAAACCGGCGGGAGGCTCCGCCCACCGACCCCGACGTCATCAGGAAGCTTCTGCTCGCACGCATGCGCAGCCCCATTGCAAACCAGTAGTAAAGGTAAGTAGAACCCACCCCTGATGTCACCACTGAAGGACATAAACCCTCCATTTAACCGTGTTAAGAGCAACATTACAGAGTTACTCAAGTCACTCAATTCCTCCCTTTGCAGGAATAAATAGACTGCATTGTAAAGCTATTTTAAGAATACAGCCTTGACTTTGCATGTTGTATACATATTCTCGACCCATATGGTGCCTCTGTGTGTCGTTCAGTTTTATAGCTCACCTACCAGCTCTAAATAAACAGGATTTCCATTCAGGTGAGAGAGAACAAATTGATAGAAGAGGGAGGTGGGGAAAAAAAACCTTATAAGTACCAATAATAACTGGAAGCCTAAATTTTGTGAGCTTGTTTTCAAAATCTGCGTAGTATCTCTTGCACACACACACAAAAAAAGCAGTTCAGTCTACAACACATCCTGTGGCAAATTCTTTTTTTTCCCCCTTCCTGTTTACTACTTCTCTGTTCTATTTTCTCCCTGCTTTAGAGCGAAACAGACTTCAGGTATCGCTAGTTGGATGTGAAGTCTCGCGCATTGCACTGCTCTATCCTTTCTCCTGTATCGCTCTTTTATCCATTTTGTTCTTTCTTTAAAAAAAGTTTCCCCACCCCCCCAAAGATTATCTGAAGAGTTCTACAGTAAGACTCCCAAGCTTTGGTTTGTGCGAGCAGACGAATTTTTTCAGGACTTCGAATGTGATTTATTGGGGAAGAAGATATTTGGGACTGTATTACAGTAAACAAAAATTAAAAGCAGATCTTCACGTTGAACGAAGCACCGGGGAACAAGTCAACAAGGATCCAAGAAAGGTGATGAAGGAAACGAATTTATTTTCTCTCTATGAAATGCAATTCATTTTTCCTATCGCTTCTTTCCATTTTTATCCATCACTGCACAAGACGTTCTGGAACATTGGCTGCATCCTCCAACGTTTATTAAATCCCATGAACTTGTTTCAAGCAATCTTGGAAGACCTAGGCATTCTTATACCAAAAGCCTCTGTCATTTGCCTTGTAATCATAATCCATTCTGGTCAGAGGTGAAATCCAGCAGGTTCGAACAGGTTCTGGAGAACTGGTAGCGGAAATTTTGAGCAGTTTGGAGAACCGGCAGCGGAAATTTTAAGCAGTTCAGAGAACCAGTAGCGGAAATTTTGAGCCGTTTGGAGAACTGGCAAATACCACCTCTGGCTGGCCCCAGAGTGGGATGGGAATGGGGATTTTGCAATATCCTTCCCCTGCCATGCCCATCAAGCCACACCCACACACGCTCACAGAACCAGTAGTAAAAAGATTTGGATTTCACCACTGATTCTGCTCCATTCCAACAAAAAGAATGACTCGGGAGTAAGGCCAAGAGATGATTGGCCCCTCCCATAAGGCTTAAAAGACCAGCAACGGCTCTTGGGCTCTTTGTTGGAAAACAACGTTGATAGATTTGTTTCTTGTCTTGCTGCATTTATTTCTTGTCGGCGTCTTCTGCTTCTGAACTGTTGCCAAGAAAAGCCTTTGGCAGGTTGCCTAATTAAACCAAGGTTGGTGATGAGGCTGAAGAATTGTGTTATGAAGAATTTGTTTTGAATTAGTTTGGACTACGCTGAGAATGAGTTAATTCTCAGCTGTTCTAATACAGTCTGTTTGTTTTCGAACTGATTGCGTCTGATAATACCTACTTGGGCCTGGGTCATAACAATCCTATTGAATAAGCAGGATTTTTTTCCCCTGTAATCCAAGGTTAATCTCCAGGTGGACAAAATCGCACTCATGATCGTGAAGGGAAGGCAGAGACAGAGGTAGGTCAGGGATCAGAAATGAGGACAGACCATTTCATGCTGGTTTTCTTTTCGGCTGATTTGGGCCTGGGATGATCACACTTCAGTGGGGACAAGCTGCACCTTATCCTGCTGGATAGGGAAACAACCTACCGTATACGGCACTTGCTGTCTTGGTAGTTTTGGCTGGCATTGAAGACAAACGCAAAGCTGAGTAAAAAGTGACTTGGAGACAGTTCTCAATCGATCGAACTATTTCGGTTGTGAGTGCCTTCTTTGCTGATTTTGTATTTCACCATGTCCATTCAGCAATTCCTCAGAAAAGTGTAGAAGGTGGCAAACAATTCACAGGGGAAAATGTCACATTGGGTGACCGACAGGGATCAGACATCTTCATTCGCTAAATCCATAATTTGGCCAAGGAGGACTTGGAAACTTGGACGCTCTTCTGCTTTCTGGAAGAAAGAAGAGAAAGAGAGAGGAAATTGTTTCAAAAAGAGATAGACAAGGTGGGGGTGTTGTAGCCTAAATAAAATTCTTTCCCCTGGGAATCAAGGACATTGGTACAGATGTTCGAAAGATGGAGACTGAGGTCACCTAGCAACTGGACTGTATGCTGATTGGTCCATGTGACCGAAGACTCTGGGGGGGGGGAGTGACAAAGCTTTATTTTCATTGGGTGTAAAACCAGCGGGAATTTAGAGCTGGTTTTTTCCACCAGGAACATGCCAATTTGATATGTCCCAATAAAATGTTCTTTGAGGAATTTGCCTGCCTCAGAATTCTTACTGAATGGGATGTATTCAGAAGTGGGCTTCAGCCGGTTCGCACCGGTTTGAGCAAATCAATTGTTAACTTTTTGCCCAGTTTGGAGAACCAGCTAATCCCACCTCTGGCTGGCTTTGCCCATCCTGCCCCTCCCAGGAGTCCCCCCCGCGGACCGTTTTGACTTCCAGGTTGGTGCAGGAGGCCGTCCAGGCCCAAAACAGGGCGCGTGGGGGGGCGTTGTGCACCCCCCGCCAAACCCCGTTGTGATTGGCAGAGTGCTGCAGGAGGCTGAGTGCTGTCCCACCCCTGGCCACGCCCACCCAGCCAGTCATTAGGGCAGAGAACCAGTTGTTAAATTATTTGAATCCCACAACTGGATGCATTACTTGGAACCTTGACATTGTCTTTATCTCCTCTCCCTACAGTTCATGGCAGTCTGTCGCTGGATACCAGCGACGCCCCGCAAGCATAAAGTAACAGGCTGACAGGATTTCCTTTTGAAGCATCAGAAATCATTAATTTCCAAAATTGGAGCCTTTGAAAATTGCTTCTCCCCACCTTCAGCAAAGAGATATTTCCTCACACCTCCTCCTCATCACTGGGACGAATGAGACGGAAACTTACCTCATGCCAACAACTGTACATGATGGCGTAGACCCTGTCAGAGGCCAGCTGGGGACGGTAGAGGCGCAGCCCTTTGATGACGTGGTCGGTGGTCTCGCTGTTGGTGAACCTCTCGTAGGGCATCTTCCCCAAAGCATGGACCTCCCACATCAGAACACCTGTCCATGGTGAAAACATCACAGAACATCTGAAATGCCACTCAATTCTGCGTATAAGATTCCTAGCCTCTGGACCACAAAGTAGAATAGAATAGAATAGAATAGAATAGAATAGAATAGAATAGAATAGAATAGAATAGAATAGAATAGAATAGAATAGAATAGAAAATATGGAATGGAATGGAGTGGAGTGGAGTGGAGTGGAGTGGAGTGGAGTAGAATGGAATAGAATGGAATAGAGTAGAATGGAATAGAATAGAATAGAATAGAATAGAATAGAATAGAATAGAATAGAATAGAATAGAATAGAATAGAATAGAATAGAAAATATGGAATGGAATGGAATAGAACAGAATAGAATAGAATATCTTCTTTATACTGTAACTGCTATTATAATAGCAAATCCTTAATAAAAGTTATTTCATTACATTCTTGATTAAATTATCTTTCCATTGATATATAATTTTATGGTACTACTCCCCCCAAAAAGTGGTGTTATTAGCTAGTTTTAGAAAATACACTTTTCCCAAAAGATTTCCCAAAAGACACTTTTGGCCACTACTGTAGACATGGGTGCCAAACAATTGAATTGGAACCACCTTTTCCCCACCTCTGTTCTGGGACCTGGGAGCCGTATCAGTGGTACACTCTGTGGCCAAGAATATTTTGTCATTACGTTCATCAGCCATGATGGTTTCTTCCTCTGGTACATCATCTTCTATGCCCATACTTTATAAAGTACCACTTTATACAGCCATAGTAAGACCACACCTGGAATCCTGCATCCAGTTTTGGTCACCACATTACAAAAAAAGATGTTGAGACTTTGGAAAAAGTGCAGAGAAGGAGCAACTAAGATGATTAAAGGCCCAGAGGTTAAAACACATGAAAAAATGGTTGGAGGACTTGGGTTTGGCAAGTCTAGAGAAAAGAAGGACTAAGGGGACATGATAGCAGTATTCCAGTATTTGAGAGGCTGCCACAAAGAAGAAGGGGTACAATTTATTTTCCAAAGCACCAGAGGGCAGGACAAGAAACAATGGATGGAAACTAACCAAGGAGAGAAGCAACCTGGAATTAAGGGGAAACTTCTTAACAGTGAGGACAATTAACCAGTGGAACAGCTGGCCTTCAGAAGTTGTGGGTGCTTCATCACTGGAGGTTTTTAAGAGGAGACTAGATAGTCACTTGTCTGAAATGGTATAGGGTCTCTTGTTTGAGCAGGGGTCTGGATTAGAAGACCTCCAAGCTCTATTCTGATTCTGCTCACCAAAAGCCCAGACATCTGATTTGCTGCTGAACTTCCTATAGAGAAGAACCTCTGGAGGAGACCACCGGACTGGAAATTTGGTTCCCATGGAGCTGACATAGTCATCATCCAAGACGTACCTGCAAGGAGAAGGTTGGGTTGGGCAACTTGACGCTATAATCCTCAAGCCAATAACTCAAGTGGCTCCCAGTCCATTGGGAGTCCAGTTCTCGACGTTGGCAACTTACTATCCCAAACCTGCAGACCCATTTGGCACCGAAACTCACCTGGAAAGGCCAAAATCAGAGACTTTGACCACTCCTTGTTCGTTGACCAAGCAGTTGCGAGCAGCCTGTGGCAGACAGAGGAAGCTTCATATAAATAGTGTGATATCAATATTTGTTACAGTCATGAACCAGCATAAACTTAAAATTAACGTATTCTGAGAGTCAGGATGCCCAAGCTTGTTACAAAGATTCTCTGGATAGAGAATTGACTGTAAATATTTTAAAGAAAGAAACTTCCTTTGGACAGAAGGAAGAAGTTCATACAGTGCCAGAGAGAGACAAACTTCCTGAAACCATCAACTATCCTGTCCCTGCATGGTGTGAATTTTGGGGCACCCTGGTGGCACTTTCACCCCTGGTCATTATCTCAGTTTGATCAATCCTGATGGCACTTTCACCCCTGTTCTAGAACCTCCATCATTATGCCAGTTTGAACAATCCTGATGGCACTTTCACCCCTGTTCTAGAATCTGTTCTAGAACCTCCATCATCATCCCAGTTTGAGCAATCCTGATGGCACTTTCACCCACGTTGTAGAACCTCCATCATCATCTATTTGAACAATCCTGATGGCAACTTCACCCCATTCTAGAACCTCCATCATTATCCCAGTTTGACCAATCCTGATGGCAATTTCACCCCCATTCTAGAACCTCCATCATTATCAGTTTGAGCAATCCCGATGGTACTTCCACCCCATTCTAGAACCTCCATCATTATCCCAGTTTGACCAATCCTGGTGGCACTTTCACCAGTTGTAGAACCTCCAACCTCCATCATTATCCCAGTCTGAAAATCTGATAGCACTTTCACCCCAGTTCTAATATCTCCATCATTAGACCGAGGGTTCCTGATAGCATTTTCACCCGCATTGGAGGAAGAAGTTGTGGTCTTCCAGTATTACCAGACAACTCCAGAATCCTGTACTAGTAGATATGTTGGCTAAAGTCACAGAGATGTGTCCTGCAGCAAGTCACAAGTCATCCATGCCTCATCCATGACAAGGTCACTGGTGGTAGCACAACCCAAAGACATTGACTTGAGTTTTCTCCCTTGGTGAGTTAAGCAATGCGTCACCTACCAGGTCCCTATGTAGAAACTGTTTGGATTCCAGATACTCCATGGCTTCACAGACATCCTTGCACATATCTAAAAGCTCAGAGGCCTGGAAGGACCGCCGAGTATCCCGCAGGTAGGTCAAGAGGCAGCCTTTGGACAGGTACTCTGTGATAATCAAGATTGGTCTTTCCTTCGTGCAAACCCCAAACAGCTGCACCAGGTTGGCATGGGAAAGATTCCTGAAAAGGAAAGCAAGGGCCTCATTGGTTTAGAAATTCACCTTTGTCCTTCATCCCTGTTTTTCCCCATCCAATGGCGAAAATAAGGAGCACATCAAAGCTATCATATAAATTGTTCAGCTTGGCCTTACCATGTTTCAGGAACTCAGCTGTGGCCGTTCAGATAATCAATATGTTCTGTTAAGCACCGACTGTGGTTTATTTAAGGAATAAATCCTGATTAAACCAACCTTAGTTGGCCTGGTGTGCAAACACTCTATATAAGTGGCAGGAAGGAAAAATGTCCAAGAGTAACATTCAAATCCATTGCAAAGATAAGTCTTACTTCTAGCTACAGACAGAAGAGCATTGACTTCAAGTTAATAATTGAGAAGTATCTACCCAAGTACACTTCCTTTCACGACAGGGCTCCAACAAGAGCTGAGTTGAAATACGTTTGAGTCTCCAACATGTGTGATGGACCACACTGGGCAATCTGAAAATCCAGAGATGCCTTCAGAATTGGAACAGAATCCCAGCAAGCATACCAAGAGGGGAAGGATGTGTTGTGGCCCGATGGCCACTGGCCCCTCCAGCACCCTAATCAGAGGAGGAGGAGGAGGAGGAGGTGTGGCAGTCAGGGTCAGCATCAGGGCAACCTGAGAGCTCCGAGGGGGAAGAGGGAATGGAGCTGACAGAGAGAGAGAGAGACGGAGAAGGAGCCTGGGCCATCCGTCAGCCCTCAGATGGAGAGTCAACTGTCTGGTTTGGTTCTACAACCCAACAGGACAGACACAGACTTCGGAGGATAATTAGAACTGCAGAAAAAACAATGGCTACCAACCTGCCTTCCATTGAGGACCTGTATACTGCACGAGTCAAAAAGAGAGCTGTGAAAATCTTTACAGACCCCTCGCATCCTGGACATAAACTGTTTCAACTCCTACCCTCAAAACGACGCTATAGAGCACTGCACACCAGGACAACTAGACACAGGAACATTTTTTTTCCAAACGCCATCGCTCTGCTAAACAAATAATTCCCTCAATACTGTTCAAACTATTCACTAAGGCTGCATTACTATTAATCTTCTCATCGTTCCTAACACCCATCTCCTGCCACTTATGACTGTATGACTGTAACTTTGTTGCTTGCATCCTTACGATTTATATTGATATTGTTTCCTGATTACTTATTAGTACCCTATGATTATCATTAAGTGTTGTACCTTATGATTCTTGATGAACGTATCTTTTCCTTTATGTACCCTGAGAGCCTATGCACCAAGACAAATTTCGTGTGTGTCCAATCACACTTGGCCAAAAAAAAAAAAAAAAAAATCTATTCTATTCTATTCTATTCAACAGCCCCCAGGGCTGGAGGTGGCTGATGAGGAAGAGGAGGAATAGCTGGGTCCAGTGTCTGACATGCAGATGCATAGAAGGCAGACGAGAGGAGAGGAGAGCAGTGGAAATCCATGGGTTTGACCCTTGGGAAGGAAGAGCCACCACTGCTAGCAACAACCCACCCTAGCTCTGAGGATAAAAGGCAGGGGGTGGAGATGAATAGATGTGGCAGACAACTACCGTATTTTTCGAAGTATAAGATGCACCGGAGTATAAGTATACCTTTTTTAGTGAGGAAAAGAAGAAAAAGAAATCTCCCTCTGCCTCTGAGCAATTTTGCCTCGTTGCAGCAAACAGACTGCTTTACTTTCACTTTCGTTTTCAGCATAGTTTGATTAGCACAAGGGGGGAAAAAATCTGCTGCAGCAATTTTCCTCCTTGCAGCAAGCAGCAGAGCCCTGCGCAAAACAGCTGAGAGCAAATCAGCTGAGAGTCGGGAGGCCGATCCAATCAACTTGTGCTAATTAGGTTGTGCTGAAGCTGAAAGGAGCTGTTTTTTCTTGCTGTTTGCTTGCAAGGAGGTAAACTGCTGGGAGGCAGAGGCCAAAAGGTGGGAGCCAGTGGGTGCGCGGGGCTACATTTGGTGTATAAGACGCACCTTTTAGGGGGGGAAAAGGTGCATCTTATACTCCGAAAAATATGGTATTCATCTTCCAGCCAGACGGACTTGTTAGCCTGCGAGAGAAACTTTTTGCCAGGGCTGCCAGCATTCCTAATAAAGGAATCCTTTGCGTTCACGTCAGAGGGTTTGTCATATTTGGGGAGCTGGCTCAGAACAGGATGTTGGGAGTAGAAGTTGAACAACATCTGGAAGGTTACAAGTTCTTTACCCTGATCTAAAGGAAAGTCTTGATAGAGAGAAGAAGAAAAGGAGAGGTTGGCTCACATCATGACTTTGGCTTCATCGATAAAGGCATCTTCTGACATGCAGCCTTCTTTGATCATCTTGATGGCCACGTTGTATTGACCTCGCCACTTGCCATGCTTCACCACTCCAAACTGGCCTGTCCCCAACTCTTTCAGAAATGTCAGTTCTTTCAGGTCAATCTCCCAGGCCCCTAAGGATGACACAAAACCGGGGGTGGGTGAAAAATCCAGTTGGACGAGAAGAAGTCCACCACAGACCATTTCCGGCAATGTCCCAAAACATCTAATATAGCGTCACTGAAGGCCTTATAGGAAGCCTTTGAGTCAGAACCACACATCAAATATAATATATAAGCTGTGTTCACTCAACGTGCTATTGAATTAACTACTTTAATACTGGCTACTGAATTAACTGGGTTCACACAATATACCCAACATGAACTATAGAGTAGAGCAGAGTAGAGTAGAGTAGAGTAGAGTAGAATAGAAAGGAAGAAGAAGAAGGAGAAGGAGAAGGAGAAGGAGAAGGAGAAGGAGAAGGAGGAGAAGGAGAAGAAGAAGAAGAAGAAGAAGAAGAAGAAGAAGAAGAAGAAGAGAAGAAGAAGAAGAAGAAGAAGGAGAGAAGAAGAAGAAGAAGAAGAAGAAGAAGAAGAAGAAGAAGAAGAAGAAGAAGAAGAAGAAGAAAAAACAGAGAGTTGGAAGGGACTTTGAAGGGCTTAGAAGTCTTCTAGTCCAACCCCCTGCTCAGGGAGGAAATCCTATACACTTCAGACAAATGGTTATCCAACCTCTTCTTAAAAACTTCCAGTGTTGGAGAATTCACAACTTCTGGAGGCAAGTTGTTCCACTGATTAATTGTTCTAACTATCAGGAAATTTCTCCTTAGTTCTAAGTTGCTTCTCTCCTTGATTAGTTTCCACCCTTTGCTTCTGAGAGTGCATAGCGCACAAAATGCCAACGAAAGGAAGGAAAGCTTAACAACTGCTAAGTTGTTTATGGATCTAGTTCAGTGAACCCAACCAAAGGCATCACACAGTTAAGGACAGCCAGGTATTACCATATCCAAGTCCTGCAGTGGAAGGAGCAGATTTTTGTTGTGTTGACACAGGATACTTCAATCGGGAGATAAGTCCTAGTGGATAAAAATAACGAGGTTATTAGAAGGTTATTCAACATAAGAAGAGCCCGTTTGGTATAGTAACTGAAGGCGCTGGGCTAGAAACCAGGAGATTGGGAGTTCTAGTTCTGCCTTGGGCAAGGAGTCAACTGGGTGACTTCGGGCCAGTCCCTCTCTCCCAGCCCTAGGAGGAAAGAGGCAAGAGGAAACTATTTCTGAAAACACTGCCAAATAATAATTAATAAAATCATAAAATCATATTAAAATAAAATAAAATAATAATAAATAATAAAAATAAAATAATAAAAATAATAAAAAATAAAGAATAGAATAAAATATAAAAAAATAAAAAAATAAAATAAAATAAAAAGAGAAGAGAAGAGTAGAGTAGAGTAGAATAGAATAGAATTATGGAATAGACTGGAGTAGAGTAGAGTGTAGTGTAGTGTAGTGTAGTGTAGTGTAGAGTAGAGTAGAGTAGAGTAGAATAGAATTATGGAATAGAGTAGAGTAGAGTAGAGTAGAGTAGAGTAGAGTAGAGTAGAATAGAATAGAATAGAATTATGGAGTAGAGTAGAGTAGAGTAGAATAGAATTATGGACACCTTTACAAAACAGCTGCTCATCCTCACCTGCGGAGTTGTGTTGGTGATAGTTGATGAGCTCCGGGATAGTGCTGAAGTGGTGCTTCTCAGCCAGGAAATATTTGTTCTGGGGTGTCGAGCACACCACATAATGGCGGATGGTGCCCTGAGGTTCCCTAAGGAAGGAATCGGGTGTTTAAAAAGGGATTCCAAGAGAAACAAAGACCGTGACGTGAGAAATTGGGACATCCGGAGGAAGGAACCACTGCAAAGTGATGCCTTGTAGTGTGCTTAATTATTCTACATGAAACAACACTCACCCAGAGGACTTAGCAAACACAGAGACGGTGTATTTGCCTGTCTTGCTGACAGAATCTCGAACAATGAAACCGCCATCTTTGCCCTGAAATATAGAAATGCCTATATTTTTCAGTGGTGAAGATTGGAGAATGATTAATTTCTCAGTGTAAGACAAAGACTCGGGTCTCTCGATGGAAGCCCCTCTTGTGAGGTTGCTTCTAAGCCCTTGGATAAAGCCACGCTACATCCGGCTAAAATGCCGGATTACTAGCCCTAGTATAAGGTGACCAACTTTTTTACAATGAGAAGGAGGTCACGTGCGTGTGTGCCGTGTCGTGTTTCGGTAAGAAGTAAACAAAACGTGGCGCACTCTCTCAAAACAATTCTCCTGTACGGAGCACATGCGTCTCATCATCACATCTCGCCACACTGTACCGAGCCTTGACAAATTGTCATGTCAAATACAAATACGTCACATCACATGTAACGGATCGGATCAGCATTGACTGAATACGGAGATTTACAGATTAGTCTACAAATATCGAAAAGGAGGACATGTAGGACGACACTTTTCGAGAGAGGACAGAACTTACAAAAGAAGGACGGTCCTCCCTAAAAGAGGACAATTGGCCACCTTACCTAGTAGCAAGTAGTAGTTAGTAGTAGTAAAACTTAAGTAGGTTTGCCTGAACTCTACGCCTAAATCTACTGCACCCTTCACAAGGATTATAAGCAAAAAGAAATTCTTGGCATACAATTTAGGATCTTAGAATGAAATGATATGCTATACAAACTAGTACTCGGTCACTGATTGGATCCAGAAGCTAAGCAAAAATAAAAGGGGTACAAAACATACACGGTGTACACCAGAGGTCTTCAAACTTGGCAGCTTTAAGACTTGTGGACTTCAACTCCCTGCTGGCTGGAGAATTTTGGGAGTTGAAGTCCACAAGTCTTAAAGCTGCCAAGTTTGAGGACCCCTGTACACAGTCAAAGAGGTTTCCCCCAAATCCTTACTTCAAATTCCTTGCAGTTTCTTAAACTTGGTCAGTTGAAGATGTGTGGACTTCAACTCCCAGAATTCCTCAGCCAACAAATCTCCCCAAATAAAAAGCTGGCTGGGGAATTCTGGGAGTTGAAGAAGTCCACACAACTTTAATTTGCAAGGATTGAGAAACATAAATTCTTTGCAATGAAAGGAAGAGGAGGAAGGGCGGGCAAGACAGACACGAGACAATACCTCTTTCTTCAGCAATTCTTCTGCTTGCCTTCTGGTTATGTTTTTCAGATACCACCTAAAACACAATAAGATAGTTGTCAAGAAAGAACACCGAGGATGAAGGTCAAGCACAGAGCCTCGTGGGAGGGATTTATTTGGAGTAAAGAATGAAAATGAAATTCTCCAAAATTGTTCTGACCTAGGCTTCCTTAAAAAGCACGAAGAAGAGTCTTGCTCCCGGCAAAAGCCCTTTTATTTACACAACTGTGAATCCCTTTCATTCACAGTTGGCAAACAGTCTTTCAGAGGAATATTTATCAACACAGACCTTATCTCGCTTGGAAAGCTGCCAGATAACTAGTTTTCAAACACAGGGTAAGGCAAAACTTGGCACAGTCTCTTAGAGTCGCGAACAGAATTTTCCACTCTTGAAAGGACCGAATGAACAAATTGTTTCCTGCAAAAGCCCACTCCCCATTCGCTCCTCTTTTGTTTCCTATGGGAGGGGCCAATCACCTCCAAGGTATGGCTCTACTCCCAAGTCGACCCTGCTTTCTTAGTTGTTCTTATCTTCTGGCAGCTCTGAGCATGTGCACACTGGGAACAGGCTCCAGCTGTTCCTCTGCCTCGCTGCTGTTTAGCTCCCTCTCTGCCTCTGATGCAGAGCCCTCATCTGAGCTTTCCCCAGCCCGCAGGAAAGGCCCGTTGTTCCTCCCCAACCTCCTCACTGTCTGAATCTGCTGCCAGCTCCTCTGGCCACCAGCGGCCACAACAAAAATATTTGATTAGTGGTTTACAGTCACAGACCTTATCTGGTTTGGAGAGCGGCCAGGCCGATACCTTGGCAAGGAGCCTCTGAGAGTCACGAACCAATTAAGCGAACTAATTGTCTCCTGCAAACTCCACTCCCCTTTCGCTCCTCTTTTATTCCCTCTGGGAGGGGCCATTCACCGTCCACCTGTGGCCTTACTCCCAAGTCGACCATTATTCTTTAGCTGTTCCCTTTGTCTGACAACTCTGCACATGTGCACACTGGGAACAGGCTTTAGCTGTTCTTCTGCCCCACTGATGTCCGACTCCGAAGGCAGCTGACAACTGGCATACGGCCCTGGCTCCCTCTCTGCCTCCGACACAGAGCCTTCATCTGAGCTTTCCCCAGCCCCCAGGACTGGCCCATGTTCCTCCCCAACTCTCTCGCTGTCCAACTCTGCTGCCAGCTCCTCTGGCCACCAACGGGCCACAACAAAAATATTTTATTAGTGGTTCATTTCCAAACCTGCCCTCCCGTTTGATGCCAATATGGGACAAGACAATGTTGAGCATCTGGTCCCACCCATCTTATTACTAGCTGATCTTCCTCGTCTGAAGTCCAGGTTGACAAGCTATAATCTCAAATGGTGGAGGAGGCATGAAACATCTGGAGGAAGAAATGACTGAACTGACAATGAGGCAGAAGATCCCAGACTTGGACTGAATAATAATACAGTCCGTCACTCTTCTGCCATCTGGACTCCATTCAACGTGTTAGGAGTATATCTGTCATCTCCACGAATGGATCAAGCCCATGGCTCAGAGGACACTCACTCAAATATCTCCAGAGAATCTCTTGCTTCGGTGATGTAATTGGAGGGGATGTAACCTTGTTTCCTGGATGGAAGGAAGTAGAAGGGGCAGAGGAAGAGGAGGAAGGATGATAAGACCATTAGAGTTCTCGTGCAAAACATTTCAGGCTTTCTTTATTGTCTAAGATAATGGCAAATCCAAAAACTAGAATCTTGATGCTTGCATATCATTACAAGTTGAATATAGGCATTGCCTTACTGAACGCTGCTCAAAACTGACATTGTTTAGAATAGAATAGAATAGAATAGAATAGAATAGAATAGAATAGAATAGAATAGAATAGAATAGAATAGAATAGAATAGAATAGAACAGAACAGAACAGAACAGAACAGAACAGAACAGAACAGAACAGAACAGAACAGAATAGAATTCTTTATTGGCCAAGTGCGATTGGACACACAAGGAATTTGTTTTTGGTGCATACGCTCTCAGTGTACATAAAAAGACAAGATACATTTGTCAAGAATCATAAGATACAACACTTAATGATAGTCATAGAATAGAATAGAATGGAATGGAATGGAATGGAATTATTTATTGGCCAAGTGTGATTGGACACACAAGGAATTTGTCTTGGTACATATGCTCTCAGTGTACATAAAAGAAAAGATACATTCGTCAAGAATCATAAGGTACAACACTTAATGATAGTCATAGGGTACAAATAAGCAATCGAATCATATTAGGAAACAGTCAATATAAATCATAAGGATACCTTTTTTGCCTGTCCAGTGGGAAATTCCCATGATTAAAGGACTCAAGTCAGAAGGGATGGAACAGATATTTTAGCTGTGCATCTAAACTAAAGGCATTTGCATACACCCCCACACCCTTCAAAATAAACTCTTGGGAACTCTAGCAATAGCATTTAGACTTATATACCGCTTCACAGTGCTTTACAGCCCTCTCTAAGCAGTTTACAGAGTCAGCCTATGGCCCCCAACAATTTGGGTCCTCATTTTACCCACCTCGGAAGGATGGAAGGATGAGTCAACCTTGAGCCTGGTGAGATTCGAACTGCCAAATTGCAGGCAGCCGGCAGTCTGCAGAAACAGCCTGCAGTGCTGCATTCTTAACCACTGCGCCACCACGACTCTATCTCCTGAAATGCTAAGCCAACATCAATCTAGACCAGTATGGTTGGCTGGGGAATTCTGGGAGTTGAAGTCCACGAATCTTAAAGTGGCTAAGGTTGAGAAACACTGATCTAGACCATAAACCAAACTACAATGAAGTTCAACCCAAGACAATCCAGCCATTGCCCTTCTCCCATCTCATACCCATTCTGGTCTTGTGCTCTCCACCATGATTCACTGCTCTCCTCCAGGATGAGATATTCTTCTCCTTTCTGTAGCTGCAAATCCTGGTCATTCACGGCGGTGTAATCGTAGAGAGCGATCACCTTCCTCGTCTTAGAAGGAACGCTGGGTATTGGTTTGGGTGGCAAAGGCTTCTTCATGAACTTTGGAAGGATGGGAAAAGCAAGGAGGAAAATAGTAAGGCCTTCCAGGGATCTGGCCACAAGATTGCCCAGGCATCAGTGGTGTCGAATGTACCCACACCAGGGGGACTGCGTTGGCTCACATGGTTAAGACACTGAGTCAAAAGACCACTGAGAGGTCGACAGCTCAGCACATTGAAAGTGAAGAATGAGCCAAGTCATGGAATGAGCTCCCATCAGTTTGCTCCAGCTCCTGCCCGCCTAGCAGTTCGAAAGCGTGCAAATGCAAGTAGATAAATAGGTACCACTTCGTCGGGAAAATAACAGGGGTGTGAAAAGAGCCCCCTCGGGCGACCCCTGGGCAACTGTGATGTCACCAGCTAATTCTTTCAATCCGGAAGCGCCTTAGAAAAGTTGCTTCCGACATGAATGTAGTAGCAGTAGTTGGGGTTAGGGTTGTAGTAGTAATAGTAGCCACACCAGCCCATAAAGTTACCTGATTCTCCTCTGGCGTCGGGGGCAATGGCTTTTCGGGCTTCTGAAGCGAACGGCCAGTTTTGAAACCTTCAAGGAAAGGACAAGTGTAATTGATTGATTGACTGACTGATTGACTGGCTGACTGACTAATAGACAGACAGACAGACAGACAGACATGATATTCTGCTTAGACTGGCTGACTGACTGACTGACAGACAGATAGACAGACAGACATGATTCCCTGCTTAGACTGGCTGGCTGGCTGACTGACTGACTGACTGACTGACAGACAGACAGACAGACAGACAGACAGACAGACAGACAGACAAACAGATATACAGACGTGATACCCTGCTTAGACTGGCTGGCTGGGTGGCTGGCAGGCAGACAGACAGACAGACAGATACCCTGCTTTTCTGGCCATAGGTGGCTAACCATTACAGGTAGTCCTTGGCTGAGGATCACAGTTGGGATCAGAATTTCCACTGCTAATCAGTGGATAGTTGTTCAGTGAGTCCCACCCAATGTTATAACCGTTTTTGTCATTAAGTGAAACATGGGGCGTTAAGTGAATCCAGCTTCCTTCCTTGACTTTGCTTGTCAAAGCCAACTGGGATGGTCGCAAATCACACGACTCCAGGATGCCGCAACCATTATAAAACCATGCCAGCGCCGTGACCAAGCGCCTCATTTTGGATCACATGACTGTGGGGAATGTCCTAAGTGCCAGGAGGACCAGTTTTTTCCAGTAACTCTGAACAGCCACTAAACAAATGGTTGTAATTCGAGGACTTGCTGTACCTGCACAAATAAAGGACGAAGGAAGAAAGGATGGAGGTTGAGATCAGAGTGAAGGCACAAGGAGAAGGTGGGAGATGATTTCTTACTTTGACTCCTGCCGGCCAGAACCTTGCAACCCATGGCCATTTTTGCAGTCTGGAGGCAACAAAGATATTGTCCATCCGTCCAGAAACAAGGATGATACTTCTGCACCAGGTTGCTGTTATAGTAGGTCACTGCAGCAAAGATGGAATAAGAGAGGAGCTTTCTGAAGAGCATGCCAAGAACTAACTCGGACATTGCGGTATGATTTGTTAAAATGTTCACTTAGCCATTGGTCAGTGTAATGCAGATTTAAAGCTGACCAGCTGCTGTAAGGCTGTAAAATGAGACGGTGAAATGAGAATGAAATTAGCAGGGTTATTGCCCCTTTAAGAAGCTGTTGTTGTGATCTAGGCTTCCTGAGTCATTAAAACACACCAGTAGTCCCAAAAACCTTTTTTATTGCAACAGCTGTGAATTACGTTCATTCACAGCTGAGTCCCAATTAGTTGCAAAAAGTCCTTCGGGATAATCACCAACCTTTAACACTCTGCCAAAGACCTACTTGGCAAAGCCACACGGAGTCCAGAATCAAACAGAGATGCCGACTGGGAACAGAATTAACAACGTTGCTTTCCTGCAAAGTGCCCACGTGCCTTTGCTCCTCTTTTAAGCCTTATGGGAGGGGCCAATCATCTCCAGGCCTTACTCCTGAGTCGTCCCTTTTGTTTTAACTGTTCTTGCCTTCTGGCAGCTCTGTGCATGCGCACACTAGGAACAGGCTCTTCCTTTTCCTCTGTCTCTCTGCTGTCTGACTCTGGAGGCTCCGGAGTCTGCGCATCACTCCCAGGTGGCCCTGGCCCCATCTCTGCCTCTGATGCAGAGCCCTCGTCTGGGCTTTCCCCAGACTCCAGGACTGACCCATGGTCCTCCCCAGCCTCCTCACTGTCCAACTCCGCTGCCAGCTCTGCAGGCTGCTGGCGGACCACAACAGCTGTCTATATAAGGGAGGCCATGAGAAGGCATATCTCGCTCCTCGTGTATCTCTCTCCTCGTCATGTTCTATCTGCATTGTAGTTCTCCGTGTAGAGTTGAAGATTGATTGCTTGCCTGGTATGTGCCTACCACGTGTATATCTCTATATAGAAGTCTTGTACATAAACCACTGTTTGTAATTACAAAACCTCTATGTCCTGTATTTTGCTCCTGGGTTGTCTCAAAATAGTAGTCGCACTGTTCAACACAATTCAACATTATGTCTATGTTCACTCCCCTTTACTTTAACCCTGTCTCAACAAAATACAAGGATTGTTTGCTGATCATGCAATGAGCCCAAACCAATCAATCTATCATATTATTACAGCTTAATCTGATGGCCTGATTCACATCTATTACCTACAAATTGTCTTTTTAGTTGAATCTTGTACAAACCCAGCCATTATACCAGTGTTATGACTAGGAAACTTGCTTGGTTGCAACCATCACTCTCATAATAAACCTCTCGTTCATTTGTCCCAAGGGTGCTTTTTCAAGAGGCAATTGGACTTTTCTGGGTTTTTTTTGAAGACGTTTCGCTTCTCATCCAAGAAGCTTCTTCAGCTCTGACTGGATGGTGGGGAATGAAAGGGTTTATATTCCTTGCAGACAGCTGGTCCTTTGCATCTTTTTAGAGAGTCGTCAAAGCACTTGGAGGTTTATGTGTGTCCTCAACGACCCTCTAAAAGGATGCAAATGACCAGCTCTCTTCACGCCCACCACACCACACCACGCCCACCAAACCACACCACACCAAGCCCCCAGAACCAGTAGTAAAAAAATTTGAATTTCACCACTGGTGACAAGACAGCCTTTCTCTGATGCCACAACAGTTACACCTGTTTTAATCACATGGATACTGACTGTTCTTCAGTTGGTGAACCCAACGAGTCCGTAGTTCCTCCATGGGAGAGAAGACATAGAGGGGTCCTTCATCGTATACCACCTTGGGGACACACAAAGCAGAGATGACGAACAGTGGTTAAAATATGGATAGCCTCAACTTACAACCGCTGGTTTTAGCGACCTTACTACAAAGCTACAAGGGCACTGAAAAAAGGAGGAGTTATGATTGCTCCTCATGCTTCCGACTGTCGCAACATGGGTTACGTGATCTCCATTTTGCAACCTTCTGACGAGCATAGTTAATTGGAGAAGCCGGCCGGGGAATTCTGGGAGTTGAAGTCCGCCAGGCTTAAAGTTGCCAAGGTTGGAGACCCCTGCTCTAGAATAGTATTTCTCAACTGTGCCAACTTTAAGATAATAATAATAATAATAATAATAATAATAATAATAATAATAATAATAATAATAATAATAATTTTATTTCTATACCGTCCTTCTCCTGAAGGACTAGGGGCGGTGTACAGCCTATTAAAAGCACAAAGACAGACATCAATTAAAGATGCCTGGACTTCAACATCCTAGCTGGGAAATTCTGGGTATGGAAGTCCACACTTCTTAAAGGTTAAGTCTAGGGGCGAAATGTTCCCGGTTCGGACCGGATCACCCGATCCGGTAGCGATGGAGGTGGATGGTTTGGAGAACCGGTAGCAAAAATCCCTGCCCCACCCCCCATGCCCAGCTGAGCTGCACAATCATCAGAGGCTTTATTTTTACTTCTAAAAGCATTTTTTTTACAACCTCTTCGGCCGAAAAAAATGCTTTTAAAAGTAGCCTCTGATGATCGTGTGGTTTAGCTTGAATCGTCAGAGGCTTTTAAAAGATAAAAAGCCTCTGCAGATCAGGCAACTCAGCTGGGATCTTCAGAGCCTTTTGAAAGCATTTTTTTACAACCTCTTCGCTGAAGAGGTTGTAAAAAAAATGCTTTTAAAAGTAAAAAAAAAATTGGCCACGCCTACCCAGTCACATTACCCACCCACCCACCCACCAAGTCACGCCCACAGAACCGGGAAGCTGATAGGAAAAAGAAACTTACTTGGAAGGGATAAGGAAACCTTTCTATAATGGAAATCTGCTCGTGGTCATTTGCATCTTCTTTTCGCTGCATGCAAAAGAGTTTGAAAATGAAATACATCCATCCATCCATCCATCCATACATACATGCATGCATGCAGGGGTGGGCTTCAAAAATTTTAGCAAGGGGTTCTCTGCCTGGTTGTTTGGTGGCTGTGGCCATGTTGGGCGTGGCCTAGTCGGCCTCCTGCACTACGGCAGGGGGCCATTTTTGCCCTCCCTGGACTCCGGAGGCTTTTCTCGAGCCTCCAGGAGGGCAAAAACAGCCTCCCCAGGCTCCGGAGGCCTTCTCGAGGCTGGAAACAGGTGGTAGGTCCATTTTTTGCCCTCCCTGAGCCTCAGCGCATGCCCTGCACTTACCTGCATCCAAAACGGGCCGTGTGGGGACTCCTGGAAGGGGAGGGGAAGAGTGGGCGGGGCCAGTGGGGAGTGGGATTTCAGGGCTCTCTGAACTGCACAGAATCTTAGCTAGAGTTTCTTCTGAACCCCTGAGAACCCCCAACAGCTCACCCCTGCGTCAGAGGTGGGTTTCAGCAGGTTCTGACCAGTTCTGGAGAACCGGTAGTGGAAATTTTGAGTAGTTCGGAGAACCGGTAGTGGAAATTTTGAGTAGTTCGGAGAACTGGTAGTAAAAATTCTGACTGGCCATGTCTCCATCTATTCTCTGCCTCCTAAGCCCCAGCTGATTGGGAGGGAATGGGGATTTTGCAGTATCCTTCCCTGGAGTGGGGTGGGAATGGAGATTATACAGTATCCTTCCCCTGCCACGCCCACCAAGCCATGTCACGCCCACCAAGCCACTGATAACTGATAGTAAAAATTTTTGAAACCCACCACTGCCCTTCATGCACGCATACATACATACAATGAGTACATCAAAGCTAATTCTATGCTTCCGCATCACCCTTCTGGGAAATTTGAAAAGTTGGGAGCGTTCCACCTGGCCCCCATAGGCAAAATGCAAAAGCATTTTAATTTTCATAATCTAACTGTGAAATTTCCCTCCTGCCAAAGCCAGTTAGACATCATTCTTTGTGGTTGGCTTTCCATTCCTAGCCATGGATCCTAATTTGGATACGACAGTAAAAAGCAAAACAGCAAACAAATGCTTTTTTTCATCGCTTGACTGACAGCTCCCTATAAGCAGGAGGGGCTGCAGTGAGAATGGCCCACCCACATGCCACGTATCTGGGATTAAACCAGCATTCTTAGAAGAGGCAGAAATGTCTGATTACCGATACCCGCCGTTCCGGAGGAGGGTTGTTTTCTGGAACCACAATCTCGACGCAGGTGATTTTATCAATGTCCACCGAGCCCTTCTTACTTCCTCTGCGCTGTAGGAAGACAGTGAAAATATTTGGAGGGTGTTTTTTTTTTTTTTTAAGAGACCTAAAATTTCAATCTACAATTTGTGCAGCTGGAGAGATGATACAGATTAACAGAGTTGGAAGGGACCTTGTAGGTCATCTAGTCCAACCCCCCGCCCAAGCAGAAAACCCTACACCATTTCTGACAGATGGCAGTTTGGTCTCTTCTTGAAAGCTTCCAGTGATGAAGCTCCCACAACTTCTGAAGGCAACTTCTGTTCCATTGGTTGATTGCTCTCACTGTCAGAAAATGTCTCCTTATTTCCAGGTTGAATCTCTCCTTGATCAGTTTCCATCCATTATTCCTTGTCTGGCCTTCGGGTGCTTTGGAAAATAGTTTGACCCCCTCCTCTCTGGGGCAGCCCCTCAAATATTGAAAGACGGCTATCATGTCTCCCCTGGTCCTTCTCTTCACTAGACTAGCCATGCCCAGTTCCTGCAACCGTTCTTCATATGTTTTAGCCTCCAGTCCCCTAATCATCCTGGTTGCTCTTCTCTGCACCCTTTCTAGAGTCTCAACATCTTTTTTATAGTGTGGTGACCAAAACTGGATGCAGTGTTTCAGGTGTGGTTTTACTAAGGCTTTATAGAGTGGTATTAGTACCTCCCTTGATCTTGATTGTATCCCTCTGTTAATGCAACTAAGGATTGCATTGGCTTTTTTGACTGCACACTATTGGCTCTTATTTAATTGGTTGTCCACTAAGACTCCAAGATTCCTCTCACAGTTGGGTAAAATAGTGTGACCTAATCCAGTAGTAATCTCAGTAGACAAGATCTGCACAGCCATCCTGATCGGCAGAGACATTTTTTCTTTTAAATGCCTCTGACGATCAGGCACCTCAGCTGGGATTGTCAGAGCCTTTCGAAAGCATTTTTTTACAACCTCTTCATGCCCACCCAGTCACATTACCCCCCCCCGCCCCCACCAAGCCACGTCCACAGAACCGGTAGTAACAAATTTTAGATTTCACCCCTGCATCAAACCTGCGCACACAGTGCACCCCAAAAGGAGGCATAGGGTAAGTAGAACAGCGCGCGCGGGGTGGGTGATCAGCTTTGGCGCGCAATCTTTTTTTTTTTTACTTGTAAAAGCAATTTTTTACAAGCTATTCGGGCGAATAGGTTGTAAAAATATGCTTTTAAAAGTAAAAAAAAGGCTCTAATGATCATGCAGCTCAGCTGTCATCGTCAGAACCTTTTTTTTCTTTTAAAAGCATTTTTTTACAACCCATTCACCCGAATAGCTTGTAAAAAATTGATTTTAAAAGTAAAAAAAAAGAGGCTCTGATGATGACAGCTGAGCTGTGCGATTGTCAGAGCCTTTTTCTTAATTTTTAAAAGCAAAAAAGCAAAACCTTCTGCACATGCGCAGAGGGTACAAAACACATTACCTCCTGGTGGGTGGGCCGAGCCTCGCACCATGATCGCTACCCAGTTCTCCGAACCACCTGCCACGATCGCTACCGGATCGGGCAATCCGGTCCAAACCGGGAGCATTTCACCCCTGCAACCGGGTTACTAACTTATCAACTGCATGTGTTTCACTTAACAAATGGGGCAAAACTCACTTGACAAATGTCTCACTTAACCACAAAAATGTTGGGCTCAATTGTGGTCATAAGTGAGGACTATATGTATTAACAAACTGAGGGATGAAACAGGTGATAGAGTGAGGGGATCCGGTTGTTGGATGTTTCTGAGACTTAATCCCTTTTTCCCTTCCAATAAATCTGGTTAAAGAAGACTTTGCGCCAGTCTTGTTTTCTGTCGTTAAGGTCTCCAGGACTCACCCCACGTTCGAAGTCGTATTCATAGTAAGAGAGCTTGCTTTCTGTCAGCAGAAAGAGGCGCTTCTTGAAATTCAGCGGAGAAGTCTTTTTCTTTTGCTGGGAACGTTTCAGGAAGATGCTCTCTAGGATAACATTGGACATGGCTCCTCTCGTCCTCCTCTTCCTCCTCTTCCTCTTCCTCCTCCGTGATCAATTTGCTGAACTGCCCCTGCCAACAATCATAAAAACGCTAAGCAAAATAGAACAGCGGGATGTATTTCTGTCCAATTATATATATATATATATGTGTGCCAAATTCTGTAGCCTTAAACAGTAGTATTTATTTCTAACCAATCATAGATAGATAGATAGATAGACAGATAGATAGAAAGATAGATACATAGATCATAGATAGATAGATAGATGATATAGATAGATGATATAGATGATATAGATAGATGATAGTTATAGATAGATGATAGATACATAGATAGATAGAGTAGATAGATAGATGGATAGATGATGGATAGATAGATAGATGATACAGATGATAGATAGATAGATAGATAGATCATAGATGATAGAGATAGATAGATGATAGAGATAGATAGATAGATAGATAGATAGATAGATAGATAGATAGATAGATAGACAGACAGACAGACAGACAGACAGACAGAGTAGATAGAGTAGATGGATAGATGGATAGATCATAGATAGATCATAGATAGATGATATGGATGACAGATAGACAGATGGATAGATGATAGATAGATAGATAGATCATAGATAGATGATATAGATGAGATAGATAGATAGATAGATAGATAATGGATAGATAGATAGAGTAGATAGATGGATAGATGATGGATAGATAGATAGATAGATGATATAGATAGATGATACAGATGATAGATATAGATAGATAGATAGATAGAGTAGATAGAGCAGATAGATAGATACAGTAGATAGGTAGACAGACAGACAGATACCCTTTCCTACCCTTATCTATCCTTCCACCCCCACCCCCACCACCACTCCCCAGCCACCATCAGAACCGAAGAAACTGGATGAGAAGTTAAACGTCTTAAAGTAAAAACAAAGTCCAGTTTGTTTTGAAAAAGCACCTTTGGGATAACTATGACCTGAATGATTGAGAATCTCCACTTGAGATATTGTAGTAGAAAGAGTGCAGAGAAGAGCAACAAAGATGATTAGGGGACTGGAGGCTAAAACATATGAAGAATGGTTGCAGGAACTGGGTATGTCTAGTTTAATGAAAAGAAGGACTAGGGGAGACATGATAGCAAGTGTTCCAATATCTCAGGGGCTGCCACAAAGAGGGAGTCAAGCTATTCTCCAAAGCACTTGAGGGCAGGAGAAGACATAATGGGTGGAAACTAATCAAGGAAAGAAGCAACTTAGAATTAAGGAGAAATTTCCTGACAGTTAGAAAAATTAATCAGTAGAACAACTTGCCTGCAGAAGTTGTGAATGCTCCAACACTGGAAGTTTTTAAGAAGAAATTGAATAACCATTTGTCTGAAGTGGTGTTGGGTTTCCTGCCTAAGCAGGGGGTTGGACTAGAAGACCTCCAAGGTCCCTTCCAACTCTGTTATTCTATTCTATTCTAAAAGTCAACTAGATAGAACTTGCTTCTGAGTCAATCTAGGCCTCTACAAAATGCCCATGCAAAATAGGAAGAAAGAGTGCTCCTCTCTTGAAAAATGCACGCATCTGTTAGACAGCGCAGCTGCCTCTTCTGTGTAATTTTTTTAAAAAAATGAAGAAGCACCTTGTAATGCATGAGCTATAAGCTTTCAGTCTGCCTAGAGTGGACAGCTGCATTCTCAGAGATTTGCAGGGCTGCGTTCCCAGAAAGGTGCCACGTTAGAGAAGCATGCAACAGACAGACACATGTAAATATTATGTAAATAAAATGTTGGCACTGAATTCATTTCTTCCCCAGGCATTAACCCAATACTGATATAGAGCAATGGTTGCCATTGCTTAAAAGTTCTTTCCTTGCTAGAATGAAGAGAGAGAGAGAGAGAGAGAAAGAAAGAGAAAGAAAGAAAGAAAGAAAGAAAGAAAGAAAGAAAGAAAGAAAAGAGAGAAAAGGATAGAAGGAAGGAAAGAAGGAAAGAGAGAGGAAAGGAAGGAAAGAAGGAAGGAGAGAGAGAAAAAAGGAAGAAAGGAGAGAGAGAGAGAAAAGGAAGGAAGGAGAGAGAAAAAAGGAAGGAAGGAGAGAGAGAAAAAAGGAAGGGAGGAAGGAGACAGAGAGAAAAGGAAGGAAGGAAAGAGAAAAAAGGAAGGGAGGAAAGAGAAAAGAGAGGGAGGGAGGGAGGAAGGAGGGAGGAAGTGATAGGTAGGTAGATAGATAGATAGATAGATAAAGAGAGAGAGACAGAGACAGAGACACAGAGAGAGAGAGAAAGAGAGAGAGAGAGATGATAGAGGAAGAGGTAGAAGTAGAAATAGAGGTAGAAGTGGAGAGATAGAGATAAAGAAACAAACTTACTTACTGGCTATTTCCTCTTTCTTTTCTTCCTCAGATTACAGGCAATCCTTTCAGCGAGGTCCCCCCAGATTCTGGCAGAGGTGACCCCCCACTGCCTGTCTGATACTTGAGCAGAGGGTGACAGCGATGGCAGTAGCCGGAGACCGATTTGAAGAGCCGCATAGAACAACATGCAGCAGCAGTCCAACTCTCATCTGAGCTAACCCCACCCTTTCAGTTCCTCTTTTCTCAGTTTCTGACCAAGCTGTCTCTTGTTTCCTCTCACCGAGAGGCCACATGGGTGCAGGACAAGATTTTTTTTTTTTTTTAACTTTTGGGGGGAGGGAGGGATCTCTAGTCTCTGCCCCCTACTCCAAAGGCAACGAAATCATCTCCAGGTCTGAAAAGGCAGCTGGACAACTGGATAGATGTGGAAGCCAACCATGGACACCAAAAGGGACCAAGCAAAGATTTCCACGTAAGGGTTGCATACAGTATTCTTCTTCCAACCGTTAGATTGGAAGCGTCCTGTGGCATTCAAAAGCTTGCGAGTCTACCAATCGCCCTTTGGAAGAACAGATGGCACAGCAAAGCACAAAAAAGACAGCCGAATAGCTTGGCATGCAGAGTTTAGCTGAAAAGGGGGAACAATCACAAGGTAGACACTAATAAAGGAGAATATTTGTAGCTCGGGGTTGAAATCCGGGGTCCTTTGTGACTCTGAGCTTGGTGGTTTCTTTGTAGACGTTTCCTGACCCAACTAGGGAACATCATCACTGCTAGCACTGATGATGTTGCCTATTTGGGTAAACACTGGATTCATTCACACATACATCAAGTCCTGGGATTGGTTGTGGTTTAGCTGTATACTGTGTAGTTCCAGTTCATACACTCCATCCATACTCTAAAATGTATGGCTCCTATAACCCAGCGAAATGAAGCTTATTCAGTAAACCAGGGATAAGCCAATAATAATAGAATAGAATAACCGAGTTGGAAGGGACCTTGGAGGTCTTCTACTCCAACCCCCCTGCTTAGGCAGGAAACCCTACACCACTTCAGACAAATGGTTATCCAACCTCTTCTTAAAAACTTCCAGTGTTCGAGCATTCACAACTTCTGGAGGCAAGTTGTTCCATTGATTAATTGTTTTCACTGTCAGGGAATTTCTCCTTAGTTCTAGGTTGCTTCTCTCCTTGATGAGTTTCCACCCATTGCTTCTTGTCCTGCTTTGGAGAATAGCTTGACTTCCTCTTCTTTGGGGCAGCCCCTGGGATATTGGAAGACTGCTATCATGTCACCCCTGGTCCTTCTTTTCATTAAACTAGACACACCCAGTTCCAACAACCGTTCTTTACATGTTTTATAAATGGTTTGGTGTGTGGTACGAAGTCAATCCACAGAGGACATTCCTTTTGCAGCTTGAACTGGGGGTTTAATGTTAGTTGTAAAGGTCCAGTTATAAGGGTCTTGTACAATAAGTGTCTCTGACCACGTACAAATTGTATTTACTGCATCTCTTTAGCACTGATTTTAGCCACAGCCTGTCTCACCTTTTCGCAATGATCAAAATTAAAAACTGGTTTTTCCGAACTGGTCTAATTCTACAAGGTCTCTTGTCGAAATTGTTAACCTGACTCTTTACTGCAAACCGAAAAATTTTATCGTGACAATTCTTGGTCTTACAGACAGAGGAATAAACTGATTGATTATATAAGCAGGAAGAATCGAAATGGGGGTTTCAAACCAGAGGAAATAATTCCAAGAAGAGAACGAGTTTTCAAGATACATCAACCTCAAATCAAAATTCAAAAATTTTCAAAAATAAAAGCAGGGGGAGGAGCAATGCTGAAGAAGAAAGTATTACTGAAGAAGGAGGACTGGAAAAAATATAGAAAGAAAGGAAGAATGGAAGATTAATTTCTTTTGAGGAGGATTTTAGTAATAATTACTGTTTTATTGAAGTAAAAAGGCTTAATTAGAATTGGATAGCTTTTTGAAACTTATTGAAACTTATTGAAGTATTAAAATGGTTAACTTAAAAGTTAATGGATAGTTTTTTTAAAAAAAAGTTTTGAAACTTATATTTTGAAGAATGTCTTATTGGTAAGAAGGTAGGGAAAGGATCCTAGCAACAATTGTGAAATGTGATAAGAGAAGATTAATTTCTTTTGAGGAGGATTTTAGTAATAAATCTGAAAAGTTTATTGTCTCATTGAAATAAAAAGGCTTAATTAAAATTGGATAGCTTTCTAAAACTTATTGAAGTATTAAAATGGTTAACTTAAAATTTAATGGATAGTTTTTTTAAAAAAAAAGTGTTGAAACTTGTATTTTGTAGAATGTCTTATTGATAAGAAGGTATGGAAAGGATGTTAGTAACAAATGTGAAATGTGATAAGAGAATTTATAAAAGAAAGGTTGATGAATAATCTTTAAAAGGGGAGTTAAAGAGTGTGAGGGAGTTTTGAATCTAGTAGTAAGTTAGTTTATTTTAGCTTATGTTTATTAAATGTTATACCCTGTTTTTGCTCTGGGAAGTGGGGGGGGGAGTGGGGAGTGGGGTTTGAGGATAAAATTGTTGTTGAAAAAACTTTTTTTACTAAAATAAAAAGATAGATAAATGTATTAATAGAAAAGTAAGAAATTTGGGGGGAACGTTACAAGAGCCTTGATAGTACAGTGGTCTAAGCACCCTGTTATTAACACAGCTGCCTGCAATTACTGCTGGTTCGAATCTCTCCAAGGCTCAAGGTTGACTCAGCCTTCCATCCTTTCTAAGGTAGGTAAATTGAGGACCCAGTTTGTGGGGGCAGTAAGCTGACTTTGTATAAATATACAAAAGTATGAAGGCTATTGCTTAACACATTGTAAGCTGCCCTGAGTCTCCGGAGCAGGGCTGCATATAAATCAAATTAAAGTTAAAAAAAAAATGAAATGATAAAATTAAGATATGATAAATAGTGGCGGAATAACAAGAAGATACAAAAGATGTACTCAGATGATACACTGTATGATTGATTAAGAATTGTATGTTTTATAAAAAATAAATTGTATGTTTATAAATAATTGTATGTTTTATAAAAAATAAAAACTTTTTTAATACGAAATTGTTGACCTTACTTTGGTAGGCTGGATTCTGACATCTGGCTTGGCCCCCTTTGTTCAATCATGACTATAAGTCACATCTGATTGATTTCAAACCACAGACTAAGGCAAAAATAAACCAGCGGCCTTCTGTGCATGTGGTAAGCCTGGCCTCAACTCGGATTGAAGTCCTAAGGTTGCAAAGCCATCCAGGCTTCCTCTTTCCGCGAATTTCGCTCCAAAGAAGCAATGACCTGTTTTATTTTATTTGTTTTATTTTCTCTTCCAGAGAAAGATGTCAACCAAAAAAAGAAAAAAGATAACCTTCTGCTTTTTTGCTTCTCTGGCACTTCAACACGGTTCCTCCTCTGGTCATTTGAGTGATTTGAACCTATATCACTGACCGCGCTTTCACGAAACGACGAAAAAAAAAAAGGGAATTATTATTATTGCAGTATTTGCTCTTGTACACCGCCACTTCCTCGCCTTTTCCGGCAGGGGGCAGCCGAGGTTTCCTCATTTCTTCCAAACTGTGTGGGCTGGGTATGGCACTCTATCCTCCAAGCTTCCTTCCTTTTCTGCTCTATGGTCTTTACTTCCGCTTCCGGCGGGAGCCTCTTTCTCTGGGCGCCGCTAACGTTGGCAAGATGGTGAGTTAACCGAATCCGGTTCCATCCGCCGCCGGGAATGAGGGTTGGGGCCTCGGAGTGGGGCCCAGGGAGGCGGCCAAGACCGAATAACGTGGCCGTGGGGCTCTCGTGGGACGCGGGGAAAAAGGAACGTGATTTTATATTCGGTATATCCGGAGCGAAATATGGAAGGAATAAAAGACACGGTTCCCTTAACCACTAACAGCATTGCCTTCGCTTAGGCCTAGTTCCCAATGCAGTGGCCAATCAGATCGTTCAAAAAGACTTAAAGAACCGATCCCTGAATTTCAGTTTTCCGTCTCCCGCCCGTCCCGTTTTCCTCTCTTGTTCATCTTAGATTGTTAACAGATTTAACAGAGTTGGAAGGGACCTTATAGGTCATCTAGTCCAACCCCCCGCCCAAGCAGGAGACTCTACACCATTCCTGACAAATGGCAGTCCAGTCTCTTCTTGAAAGCCTCCAGTGATGAAGCTCCCACAACTAATCTGTATCTAAGGTTCTGAAGGCAACTTCTGTTCCATGGGTTGATTAAGTCTTAGCTTTTGATCCCCAAGCCTGATTATGCAATTCAATTCAATTGCATTCAAATTGAATTCAATTCAATTCAGTTCAATTCTTTATTGGCCAAGTGTGATTGGACACACAAGGAATTTGTTTTTGGTGCATAGGCTCTCAGTGTACATAAAAAGAAAAGATAACATTCGTCAAGAATCATAAGGTACAACACTTAATGATGGTCATAGGGCACAAATAAGCAATCGAATCATACTAGGATACAAGCACTTTGAATATTTCTTATTGGGCCAACGTTGGCTTTTCCAACCCTGTTTCTTGTGAGTTAGGGATCGAAAGATCCTCACGGATCTCTCGTAAGGATCAGTGAATCTTGACCATCCAGATCCAATCCAGAAATGAGTCTGGATTGTGGGTCATTTTGCAGTGCAGTGAAATGGTGAGAAATGGAGCTTTGGATAAAGTACATCAGCTGTAGAAACAGATATTCTACTCTTCTGGAGGAGAAAGACTGAAATAATTCCCTTGGGTGTGCTTATTGGAATAGCTCCTTGAGAAACCAACAAACTGGGTTAGAAGTAGCTTTCTCCCTGCTGTGGTGAATATCAGACTTAATATTGTCATTGCCAGGAACTGTTATCGTCAGGAAGGGTACAATCCAGAAACGTTAAGTCTCGGCCCAGGTTTAATGGCTAATATTATTCTTACAAGGTGCTGAGATGATTAGCCTTGTTCCTAAAATGCTTCAAAATGCAAAATGTTTGCCTGTTCCTTTTGCACTGGTAGAAGAATGACGTCATGTGCAGCAAATTGGGAAGCTAATCCAGATTGACAGTTGCAATTAACAGAATAGCTAATCGTACAACTAGTACAGAGGCAGAATTTGCAACAAAGGCTAAAGTAAAAAATTGAGATTGGTAGTTTGTGGTTCTGCTTGTTGCAGGAAAGACCCACTCTATTTTAGTAAGTTGGTGAGTCCTTCGCGGCCTTGAATTATTTATAAATTAATACAGGCGGAATAAAATAAAATAAAATAAAATAAAATAAACCTTGTTTCTTATGAGCCAAAAGCTTTTCCTAAATTTAGGGACTTCAAAATTCCAAGCAGCGACCGTACTAGCAGGCCATACTTCTGGAGTTGAAGTTCATACCCTCAAAACGATGCTATAGAGCACTGCACACCAGAACTAGACACAAGGACAGTTTTTTCCCGAACGCCATCACTCTGCTAAACAAATAATTCCCTCAACACTGTCAAACTATTTACTAAATCTGCACTACTATTAATCTTCTCATCGTTCCTATCACCCATCTCCTCCCACTTATGACTGTATGACTGTAACCTTGTTGCTGGTATCCTTAAGATTTATATTGACTCTTTCCTAATATGATTTGATTGCTTATCTGTTCCCTATGACTATCATTAAGTGTTGTATCTTATGATTCTTGACGAATGTACCTTGTCTTTTTATGTACACTGAGAGTGTATGCACCAAAGACAAATTCCAATCACACTTGACCAATAAAGAATTCTATTCTATTCTACTCTACTCTACTCTATTCATATTTGTCTGAAATATGGAGGGTTTCCTGCCTAAGCAGGGGGTTGGACTAGAAGATCTCCAAGTTTCCTTCCAATTCTATTTCTATTTCATATTGGGAAAGATAGCAGAGTTGGAGAATTCTCCCTGGAATATTTGCATGCTTTTCCCCTATATGGGGAAAGTAGAATTCTGTTAATTGGTGTAAAACTGATTCCTTGACAGGTGAACGTCCCGAAAACCCGCAGGACTTACTGCAAGAAATGTGGCAAGCATCAGCCTCACAAAGTCACCCAATACAAGAAGGGCAAAGAGTCTTTGTATGCGCAAGGTGAGTTGTTGTGTTTGGCGCATTCTTTGTCTCTATAATTAGCCCTCCATGCATTAAAACACCGGGTTCTCACTTCCCGATTTCTTTTAATTATGAAAGCAAGGGGGCCTTATTTCCTTTCCACTCTTCGATTTATTCTTAGGCACAATTGCCGTTTGCATCAGTTTCTAAATATATATGCAATATATATCTAAATATATACACTTTTTTTTTAAAGCCTTTTGTTTCTTCTCTATAAGAGGCGAAAAGGACCGCCCTCTCAATTCATTTCCATTCTAAACCAGAGATACAGAGGTCACCGTTTTCACATTGCACTACATTTTATTTTATTTTTTGTAAAGAAAAATGTTTAAACTGCTTATGCATATTAAGAACAAAAAGCCTCAAAAATAGGGGCGGGGGAACCTGCGATTGGGCATTCTGAAAAGTACGGGGGCAGAAGGGAATTGAAGCACTGAAACCCCCCCATAGAGCAGGGGTCTCCAACCTTGGCAACTTTAAGACTTTGCTGGCTGAGGAA